TTGTGCCTTCTAATCCTTACTTTAACACTTTCACACATATAAATATGTATATAAAGTTATGACAAAAAAAAAAGTGTTTTGTTTTTAAAATCCTAAGTGGTCTCATGCTGCAGTTTGCTTTCTCATTTGACATTATATCTAAAGCTGACATGGATACTAGCTACATCGCTCATTTCTGCTATATACTCTACCTGCAGATATGTGCCAATATTTTATTTATGCAGCCCTCTACTGATGGACATTTATCGTTCCAATTTTTCACTATTGTATGTCTTCCCGTAATACATATCTTTCTATATAGATCTATTGGAACAAAAGCTAGTGTTTCTTGGGGGTAGACCAGGTATTTTCCATTTTAACAAATACTTCCAAAATGCCTTCAAGGTCGCTGACTGCATCAGCAGTGACCCAGTGAGCAATTCCCCTAATCTTTACTGACACTTAATCTTGTCAGAATTTAGGCATTTTGCCAATTCCAGCAGGTGAAAAATAGTTCTTCTTTTAATTTGCATTTTTTGGTGATTATCAGCATCCTTCTCTCAATCACTGTTTTTATCTACCAGAAAATGATGCTTACTATAATTAAATATTCTTCGATCAATTAGAATTACTTTTAATCATTAATACACCATCTTGTCAGCTATAATTCATCCTTCTGTTTCTTTTAGCTAGGTTTACTTATAAGTAAATGGAAGCATACTCTTCATTTCTTTTATTAAATTGTTAAGGATTTATCCCCAAATTATTTTTAATAATCTTATATACAAAATGTAACACTCTTGGGAGTATAATAACAGATCACAGTCTTTTCTATGTGCCACCCTTGATTTAACAGTTAGCAAATTTAGTAAATAAGCTAAATTTAAAATTATACCATAAATATTAGACTGAAATGAAAAGTCCTGCAAAGAAATGTCAAGATAGACTGACTATTCCTGATATTCCTTTAGTAACATTATTCTTTAAAATATCCTAGCCCTTAGGCTTAATCAATGACTGTCAGGTGAGAAGATGATAAACATACTGCATGAATCCTGATTCTTAAGAGTAAGTCTATAATTATCAAGGACTAGAATAGCTCTGCTCTCTTAAGGTAAACCTAGGAATCAAAAATCATATTTGACTGAGAAGAGAGGACAGAACCACATAGGAAAAATGTCACCCATCCACTGTCTGCTTATATTCTGTTATCTGATAAAGGTGACACATTTGGAAGTCCTAATGATTCAATGCTCCTAATTATTAAAGGTTTTATCTTATGAATGACTACGACCCCAGAACTTCATACAATGAGTTAGTATGCTCTTATTCTGCTTATACCCTGTGATTTTAGAATAAATTTTGGAAAGCAGTCAGAAAAGATCACTTTCAACAGCATTCAGGAGACGCACGATTTTGAAATGAGGGCTTTGCAAAAGTACATTATTAAGCAGCTATTTAAACAGTCTATGGACTTACTGGTCAGCTACGTCTAGCTTGTTCTGTCCTTTGTGAAATGATAGTGGAAGACAGGGGGAGGAGGAACCCAACATCTGAAAGTTTAAATAATTGCAAAGGATGTAATTTCTCGTGTACTGTAAATATCAACATTTAACCTTTTGTTGTTGTTATTACCTGAATTTCCTTATAAAACATCGGTTCTTGTTTTATGGACACAGTATCTTCTTTTATCTCTGAGGAATCTGATAGGCTTTTGGTGGGGGGGTTATTTGTTTACTCCTAGTTCTTTTCCCTCCTCTTTGGTCTCTCTCATTAGCATAGAGACTTTCCCTCTGATGTCCAGTCATCAAGAGATAATTCATCTCTCCCTAGACTAAATCAGAGACTAAAAACCTGTCTGAAAGCTTTGAGCATATAGATGGGCTTCTTGTTTTTGAATTCCCATGTACTCCCATCTAGGTGGAACCCCTGATAGCACTCCATTGTGACTCTCCTCTTGGCTGGTAAGATTCCTCAGAGAATTCCAATTCCCGCCTAAGGGGAAGGTTCAGCTGCTAGCATTCTGGGAACCAAATGAAAAGAGACTGCTGGGGAGCTCCACTGTCCAGTAAGCAGGCACTCAATCCCCGACCCAACTCCTCTTCCCCCTGTGTCCCCAGTTCAGATATTTGCTTTTCCCCTCTCCAGAGAACACATTTCCAGTCTACTGCCAGAGTAGGAATGGGGTAGCCACCAAATGGCACAGAGCAGGAGACAGGATTTAGAGAAACATTTCAGACAAACTTTTCATTTGTGTACTCTTCCTCCTCCGGAGATACCTCGCACTGCCAATTCCGTGATCCTTGAGGATTCTGTGGTACAAATCAGGTTGGTTTTCATTCCCCCATTGCCAACTAATAATTTAGCTTTTTTTGGTTGTACTATATCCATTATCACTTCTCCATCTACTTTCTACATCTACTTTCTAGCTTTTAAAATGTTATTCCTATTGTTTTCTTCCTCTCTGTGATATGTTCATGCTTTAAAAAATTTTCATTATTATAGTTACATTGGTGTTTCAAGAGAGCAAAAATCTGTCACCTTAACCTGAAAACCATAGAGCCATTTTAATTAGAGGATTTTCAATCTGCCAAAGCCTTCAGAAACTAAAGATGTGTTGGTAACTTTAACTAGTTGCACATATTGTCCTATAAAGAACAGAAAAGAAAAAAAGGAACTGTATCTTCTTTGGCTAATTTTAAACTGGTAATAACAAATATATCTGTTAAAAGGCTTAAATTTTATAATTAATACTTTTTCAGCTATTAAAAGACAGGATAAACTGATATGAGCTACATTAATAGCTAGATATATTCATAGTAAGAGTTACTTAAAAATGTAAGCAAAGTATTTTCAGAGTAAATAAGTAAGACTGTAAAGGTTATAGATCCTATAGATCCCAAAATGCAAAACAACGGGACAACACTGCCTCATCCCCACACTACAGAACTATCTGATCTGACAGTGTTCTTCTCTACTGGCACTGCCCTGTCCCATCACCATTTCTAAAACAGTTTTAAGACTATTCTCCGCTGCCTCTGTGTATAATAGCAAAAGCCTTTTCCCCTGTTATTTTTCTATTACTTCTTTGACTATTTTTCTTTCCTTGACATTTCTCAGTTTTGATATGAGAAGAATTTCGTTTCTCTCTCTTCTGGAAGGTAAACCTAACAATAATATATAGTTGTGTGTAATCATTCTTTCATTTTTTTTAGTTTTGGTAATGATATGTACTTATCATAGGCCAGGCCTTGTTCTAGGCGTTAGAGACAAAACAATGAGCAGAACAAGACCCTTGCTCTCAAACCGCTTGTAATCTAGTGGGGACGACAGACAACAAGCAAATATGTCATATGGAGTTGGGTGTTAAAAAACAAAAACTAGGATGGGCTATAGTGTGACAGAGTGGGGTAGGAACATGTTAGTTATATAAGGTGATAGGAGGAGGCTTCCTTTAAAAGGCAGTATTTGAATAGACACACAAGGGAGAAACTCTATGATTATTTGTGACATAAGTACTATTCCAGAAAGAAAAAACAAGTACAAAGGCCCTGAGGAAAGATAAACCAGGCCTGCTGAAGAAACAGTAAAGAGACTGGTGGGTTGTGAGCAGAACAAGCTTTGTTTCTCTCTAATGTATACTATTCTGGCCAAGGTTTACTCTTCACAAGATTTTAATATAACCTTTCAGATTTAAACAGATTCAGATTCTAACTTATATGAAAGGTGGGACTGTTTTAAGTCTACTGGATAAGTGGAAATGTTATTGAATGAGGTAATAATGTGCTGCAAGAAGGATTCTGGCTGAACACAGACTTGTAAACAATCTAAATTATAGATATAGATTGCCTAGTTTTGAGACAGAGAGGGTAGGACAGTGGAAAGACTTAAGAGCTAGATCTGGTTTTGTCTTGGTTCTACACTTATTTGCAATAAATGATCCTGAGTCAGAGTTCTGGGTATTAGTACATATACATACTTTTACCTTTTTATTCTAATTTTATAATGTAAAAGTAGTATGATGGTTATGGGGAAAGAATAAAGGTTTAGGAGTCAAAAATTCTGAGTTAAACACCTTTCCTTCTGCTTATTAAATGTGTAGCCTTAGACAACTCACTTAGAAGCCTCAGTTTCCCTTATCTGTGAATAGAAAATATAAGTATCTACTTCATAACATTACAAAGATTAAATAACATAATAATCCATGCATGTGAAAGCCATTTATATATTATAAAATGTTAAATTAATTTAAGATACATGCATATTTTAAACTACCCATAGAGCTTACAAATTTACATTTTACTCATTTAAAATTTTTCATTTCAGTGCTTGCAAAATTTATTTAATTTTATCTTTTGAATTTACCTTTATTTACCAAATTATTTATTTGTATTTGCATGCAAAATTACCTTTATTTACCAAATTATTTATTTGTATTTGCATGCAAAATTTATCCTTCATAGTCTGTTTCCTGTTTTGGCCTATGATAAATTTTATAAAGTAACTTTTGTATCTTTTAAATTACATAGCAAAATACATTGGCATGAAAAAGTCAACTTGAAAACCTCAAAAAGGATCAGAATGCAGATTTTCATTTTACTTTACTTTCACTTTACTTCATGCAGATGATCTTTTGCAACAGATAATATGGGCACATGGAGAAAATAACTTAAAAGGATAACTAACAATCATTTTATATACTTCAAAAACTTAATTTTTTAGTGGCTTTTTTTTTGGCCTATTTTTGTCCTTTAAACCTTTGTTGCCTAGTTAAACTGTGGCATGCTAAACATAAATGTGCATATTTGCACATCAAATATTTGATATATGTTTTGAAGACTATACTAGAGAGACTATTTTATTTCTTAATATCATATTGCTAGCCATTAGTTAAAAGAGTCCACACGTTGTAGGACAATAATTGAAAAATGCAATTCAAAAGAATAATAGCTAAAACCTTTAAAATGTTCTGAATGGTCTTCAAAAGTAATTTACAAGAGATTTAACAGAATGGAACTTACTCCATGCCCTGTGCAGTCTGCCGTGCAATATCTATAAGTTTGATCATCTCGAATTTGGTCTCAATGATGTGGAGATGATGATATAAGCTGGAGCCCTCACACCACTGGGTAACAATAGCCAGTTGTGGCTTTGTTGAATAACCCATGAAGAGTAGGATATTCACATGTCGAGTTTTCCTGTAAAAAAAAATGTGACAGTAAATAGTAAAAAAAAGTTGATAAACTTTAACAAATCTTTAAATAGAGGGCCAAAGCAGTCTACTTATCAGTAAGAAGTCATCAGAAAAAGGTATTTTTTGAAAAGGCAACAAAATAATAAATTTAGGTAAGACTTTAGGAATTGTCTAGACTAACATCCTATCATTTTCATAAATATCTTTTTTAATATACCTCACAGACGGACAACCAGAGGTTGCTTAAATATCTTCAATTACGGTAAGCTCATCACTGAGACCATAGCCTGTTCCCTGTTACCACTATTCTTTTTTCTTTTTTAAAAAGTGGTTTTATTATTAAAATTTTTTTTGGTTGAGGAAAAATCATTTTCCTACAACTTTTGCCACTGGCTTCCCTGTTCTGCTTTCTGGAATAAAAGAGTAAGTATATACCCTCTTGAACATAACAGCCTCCTATGGACCCAAATATTCTCAGTTCTGTTGACTATTTTCTCCCTAAGTTATAGTTTCAGAATTCCTCCCCCACCCCCATACCACCAAAGTTGTCCTTGCCTGGACATACTCTAGTTTATTAATGTTCCTCAAGTTCCAGGGCTTGATACAATTTCTAAATGTCTTCTGATAAGCTAAGTTTTTGAGAGTATTATTTCCACTTTGGAAATATTAGAAGTATTACTTCTCATGATCAGAATATTATATTTCCATTAATTCACTCTATGATCACCTACCACTTAAAAGAGTATGGTTAAAGACAAAATATACTCAGACAAACTCTGTCTTCTCCATTTTGAGTAAATCTGTAAAGCTACCAGTGGCTATCACTGGAAAACACATGTTGATGCAGACAACTTCTCTGGAAAATGTGATTCACACAAGCTCACCTGAGTACTCCTACTTCATTTTTGAAGGCCTGTAACTGCTGAGGTGTGGGTGCTGTCACATTCAACATTTTCACTGCCACATCACCTAAAAGGTAATTGCCATTCCAAATGTCATTCCAATTTTTTAAATTTAAAAATATAAAAAACCCTAGGGTAGTTTCACTAATTATCATTGCCTTAAATTCATACCATTATAAAATGCAAATCAATTATACTTTAACTTCCTAAACTGTATTAATTTTCTGAGGAAAAAAAGTAAACTGACAATAATAGTCTTATACTAGTATTTCAAAATATCAATCCAAAAAAACAGCCAATCTCATTTTCCCCTTGGAAATTTAGTCTAACCAATTAAATACCCAAGATATTTTCCTGATTATTTAACAAAATTAGATGCATTCACTAACTGAATGTTAAAACTGCAGATGACAAGCCCAATGGAACTTGGCTGAAATAGAAAACTGCATACTTCTTTACCAGAGTAGTTAACCTTTTTTAAAAATCCACGGATCATTTATTGCATTTGCTAGGAAAATTATTAAAATTAAAAAAAATTTTAGGTGAAACAAGTAGAACTCTTACACATCGCCAAAGGGTGTGTAAATTGGTACAACCACTTCAAACACTGTTGGCAGTATCTACTACTGGCCCCACAATTCTTTCCCAGGTATATACCAACCAACAAGGACACATATGTTCACCAAACATGTACTAAGAATATTCATAGCAGTAGCATTCATGATAGCCCCGAACTGGAAACTATTCAAATGCTTATCACACAGTACACAGGAAGAGAAATCATGTTATAGTCACCAATGAACACTATGTAGAGAATGGATAACCCGTAACTACATACAATAATATAGATGAATCTTATGAACAATACTGAGTGAAAAGGGCCAGACAAGAAGGCCAGACAACATTACTTCTGTTTAGGTCAAATATCCATAGGGGTCGGGGACATGAAGAAGACTTCTAGAGTGCTGGTAATACTCTGTTTATTGAACAGTTGTGTTGGCTTGTGAGATTTTAGCTACTTGTACACTTAAGTGCACTTTTTTACATGCTATGTTGTATTTCAATATAATTAAACTAATTTATTGTTTTCCTGATTATCAAATAAAGTACTCATAGCAAAAAAACTCAAACTTAAAATTCAAAAACTGAACATTCTGAAAGCATAAAGAAAAAAATTAAAATCTTCCATAATCATGTCAGAATAATCAATGGTCAGAAATGACCACTGTTAACACATTGATGTATATCCTACTAGACTTTTATATGCATGCACTGTGAATATTTATAAATAAAAGATAACCTGGAAAGATATGCACTAAAATATCGATGGTTATTTAAAACATTATGTCATTTATTTCTATGCAGCACCATAATATGGGATACTATACATGTTGCTTTATAAAATATACTGCGGACTCCTTTCCATATCAATAAATATAGGTCTACCACTCCACTTTAATGTCTATATAATCATATATGGAGGTTATCAATTTATTTATCTAACCCTCTATTAACGAGCACTTGTTTATTTTCATTTTTCATTAATATTAAATCTCTAATGAATATACTTGCACACACATCTATTTGTTCCTGTTCAATTACTTCCTCATTGTAAAGTTCTACAAGTGGAATTACTGGCTCTATATACATATTGCCAAATTATCCTCCAGAAAAATTGTAGCAATTTATTTTCCCACCAGCAGCATTATAATCACAACTCTAAATTATGATAAATTAAAACAAAAATCTTTGTCCATTTGAGCGGCAAATAATGATTTCCATTTTTTGAATTTGCAATTCCTTGATAACTAGTGAGGCTGAACATATTTTATGTTTACTGGCCATTTCTTCCTTTGGTAAGTACTCTTTCAATATGTTTACTTGGGGTTTATAATACAAATAAAACTACCAGGAGAAAGACTTATAAAAAAAAAACATTGGGGGGGATTAGCTCACCTGGAGGATCATCATCTTTAAAAACTATTACCATAGTATAATGATAGGACTTCTGGCTGTTGTGAATCCAATTCCTATTTCCCATAATTTTTGTTATAAACCTTTGGAAGACTCTTGCATCTGATCAAAAATAGCTTAATGATGCAAACAGCGAATACTCTCTTTGATTTTTTTTTTATATAAGTTGTTTAACACATCTTACTATTATAATTTGTGACAAGGTCACTTTATTGCATACATACCATGCCACTTTCCCTTGTAGACTGTCCCAAATGACCCGGATCCAATTCTTTGTCCCACCGTGATCTGCCCATCAGGAATCTCCCAATCGTCACTTGAATCCCGTCTACCAAGTGTTTTCTTGATAAAAATAGTGCAAAAGTCAAGCCAAAGCAAACAAAAAAGGAAAATCTTGTTTTACACTAAGCACATTCCCCTATGCCTGAAAGGGATGTAAGTTAGGAAGGGAAAAAAATCTAAGAGGGGAAAAAATCCAAAGAATAATGGAGAAGTATGATTCTTACAATACAGAACTTAAGTTTAAGACTTAAGTCAGTATTAGGATGCAAATAATTTCTTAAAAAATAATTATTTACCAGGTATGAGCAGAAATGTATATTATTAAAACCAATAAAATAAAACAGCTTCTTATCATTTGGAAGACTACTAGGGGCAAGATAAGTACTATATACATTTGTGATTAGTTTTGGCTCCAAAGGCCAAAAATTTAAGCTAACATACTATGTAAATGTTGATAATCTAATTACTCTCTCCCAATCAGTGCTAAATTTCCTCATATATCTTATCTAACCCAGTCTCTCAAATAAATGTATCAACATAAATAATCACTTTGGTATGATCCACCTATCCAACATTCACTATTAATGTACCATCACTAAAGTGATTAGCTTTTAATTTATTTTGCAGCAGAAGTTAGTTTTTCAATAGAGAAGAACGTCCCTTGGTAGATATTTGAATTTCAGACCAGCTCCTTAGAACATATATGTCTAATCATGCCTCCTAAAATACTACTTTCTCTCTTTTCATAGTTTAGAAGCAGAACACTATTTTTACTCTTTCAAAACTGCATTTTACTTAATAATATTAGAGTTGAGAGCAAAAATCAGTGTTGTGGGAATATGCTTTAGGCCAAAAACGATCAGCTCTTAAATTCATTTGACTATGGGAATTCTGTGTCATATATGGACATATCATATGTCACCATATATCATATATCTAAAAGGCAAATTACCTTTGGCTATGACTTCTAAGAAGGAATAACTTAGAGGAAAAAGATGCCATATACCCTCACCATTCGATTTCTGTCTTCTGAGGATGAAGATGATTTCCTTTCTCGCTGAGGTCCTGGAGATTTCTGTAATGCTTTCACATTAGTGAGTGAGCCAGGTAATGAGGCAGGGGGTGTGGCAGACAAACCTGTGGTAGATCCTAAGTTAGTGAAAGGAAAAATATACCTATTAAAGGAGGATCAAGCATGTTAGTTTACTGGGGGCGGAGGGTGGAGGGAGATTTAGATTTATTTTAAAAATGTTCAAATATAGATCATTTGGAAAGGACAGGTAAATAAGGGGCCTCATTGGGTGGTCATATTACAAATATATCAATATTTTATCAATACCAAATATATAAATTATAAAACTGTAATTTCTTTTAGTTTTCTGGTCAATTTAATGACCTTTAAAACATCTGATTACAAATATAGACTTTGCTTATTGGTGCAAAGTCTAGGAGAAAAACAATCTTTCTAAAATGAGAGATAAACTAAAAAGTATTCCCAAGCTTTTGTTTCTCTGATTAAAAAAACAAAAAGCAAAATTAACTTAAAAGCCAATAAAAAAATAAACTTTTAATTAGTTACTTTAACAGCCAATTGATACAAAAAAAGATGGAAATTCCCCAAATGGAAACATAGTCTAATAACTGCCTTAATGTTGGCATTACCTAGCTGTTTCATATTAGCCACTAAAGTAAAAAAAAAATCCTACACTACACACTATACTATTTAAGAGTGATACAGTTTCACTGGTTCCTGGAGGCATATTCTGCTAAACAAAGATAACTTCTACCTGCATAACAAAGTTAATGTTAACAAAGCCAAGCAGGTTTCTCAAGACTTTCTGAAAAGTCTTTGCCTTTATAAGCAAGAGTAAAATGCTATGGCCTCTCAGCCAAGTTACTACAACGGAAATATTTTATCACATTCTTTGAAAGTGGGCTCAGCTGGCAGGGTTGTGCACCTTTCTAATGGATACTTTTCCAAATGCTGACTGAGCTAAAATCCTAATTCATGTACAGACCTGGTTCAGAGGGGTTTAGGGCAATGACTCCTCTTGGGTTCTGTGTATAGCTAAGCAGGACAGAGATGTCAGGTAATATTTGCATATATAGAACAAAAAAGACTAAGAGAATTTTTTTTTAAGTAGACAACTATTCTCTAGTTAAAAAGTCACTATCTTTCAAAGAACATGGATCAGGATACTCATGGCAACATTTAAATGTTAAAACTGTATAGAAATTTAATCATTACTACATAACATATGTCATCATGTGGAATTTCCATATCTTATACACAATTTTCCACAAGAAAATGGTATCTGGAATATCTGTTACTAGAGCACAATTCATATTCTGCCTTCCACTAATAATTTTCAGTATTATAAAGCCTTAACTGCTTACCCAATGCTTCACATTCTGATCTACTCAGTGCTGTATTGTATTATTTACTTTAATCACACTACTCAGTACTCTGTGACTTCTAGCCCATTTCATGGATTTTCTGAGGAAGACTTGGGCTGAGAGAGCAAAAATCTGAAACACCACCACTACATTCAGAATAAGTAACAGACACTAACTAGCAAAAGCCAGTAAATATAATTCTTTTAAAATATCTTTATTTATATCTATAGCAAGACAACCGTCTAAATTTTGACTTAAATTTTAAAAAATCAGTCTAACCACTAATTAAAGTATGTCAAGATAAAATGGGAGAGTGAAATTACACTGCTTTTTACTCATGATGGCATAAGTGAAAGGATCAATCCTAAAATTTCTTAAGCATGGTAAAAATATCCCAAATATATTACAGATCTTCTTTAAAGTTCCCTACCTTTGATATAAAATACACACATCCTCTTTTTCCAAAAAAAACCCCCCATATTACAGAAAATAAAGCCAAAAATCTAGTAAAAACTCTTAATAGGAATTTCCATTTAAAAAAAAAACAACAAAGAAAGATAACAAATATTAATAGTCATCAAGGTTATCATCTAAATGGATTAAAATAAAAGAAATTCAACTTGCAAAGAGCCCCCTCCCTACATTATTTACTACCGCCCACTGAGTTTAAGAAGTTATTAAGATCAAAAACTAAGTAACATAACAAAAAACAAGATGGAAATCTCAGCTCAGAATTTTCTTGCTTTTACAAATTTATGACAGACAGCATACAGGAAGCTGTGGTAGTGAGTATGTGTGAGAAGCACATTCAGCATTCCAGCCAGGCCAAGCAGAAATTCAGTACTGAAAACTTTCACACTTACAAACACACACTGTGAGGGTGAGGCACAAACAGTATCTGTAGTTTATATTTAGTTTGCTTTGGGTGAAAACAAGAAAGAAGAGCCCAACTACCTCTGAACACTGGGCCAGGCTCAAAATCAAACACTATTTCACTGGGGACAGAATGTAGGAGGGGACTGGGAGTCCGGGATTGGTATTTCCGAAGACAGCGCATCAGCTGGTTCAAAGGGGCTGTTAGAAGAGAAAGAGAGGGGCAGGCAAACACAGGAAGACAGACACACAGAAGAAATGAAAGAAGTCATGGGGAATAAATAAGATGAGTTGAAGCCTGCTTCATAAAATAATTCTGGATGTTTAAAAAAATCTGCTTATTATCATAAAATCCCAATAATTTTTTGAAAAGTGACTCATAAAAAGGACAAGAAATGCCATTTGATTTTTCGGTACTAAGCAGGCAGTTTTTATGACTAAGTTAATTCTGATGCTAACGTGATGACAACATTTAAATGCTGGATGTACTGGGCAAAATTATCAAAAGCCACAGCTATTAAGACATACAAAAGTCAGACTGGCAGCAACATTAATTGGTGGGTTTATGGAATAACAAACAGGAAAAAAAGACTATGTGCTTTAGTAACTACTAAGTCTAGAGTATATAATATAGTGTTATTATTTTGGTAGGTTCATGGGAATACAGAAACATAACAAAACATGGTTTAGACAATGCTTATTCAGTATAAAATATCTTTGAATCTAGGCTTCAGGTCACAGTGAAGAGACCAACTCTAAACAAGATAAGCAAATCATGCAGGACTTCCTTATTAAATAGGAGACAGCTGAAGAGGTAAGCATAAAGGATCACTTGGAAGAAAACTTCAAGATAGTTTCAAATACCATCTCTTAGAAACATTATATAGGGGTGAATTCTTATTTTAAAAGTATTTTCTAAAATAATGTTTTGTTATGCCCCCAATTTTCACTGGGTACTAGAGTATCTGATGAAAATTCTTTAAGAAATCTCAATTCAATTTATTTCCTTATTTTATTTCCTGGACTAGTAAAAGGGCAACTAGACTTATCCATTAGGGGTCTATGCTATACAACATATATTCCAAAGCCTTCTAGAAAGCTGAAGGGAAGTGGTTGATAATATCTTACAAACTGATAGCTTGTGGCAGGCAATCCCAGGTATTCTCCCCAAGAATGATTTAACAAAGTCAAGTTTTAACTGACTGAAAGCTCAATCTTTAACTATTAGTGGAGGCTCCCAAAGGAAATTTAGCATCTTCAGTTTTGTAGATGGTTAAGAATAAAGTGGCAAGGATCACTCCTTGATAACAACATTTAAAAACTGTAGATAGTACATTTAAGACTCCCTTTTATGCCCTCTCTTTTTCTCTGGTTATGGATCAGTTAAAATTTTATCAGAGATAAATGATAATAAATACTAAAAAAAAAGCAAAAATTTTTGGTTTTTCTCTACACATTTTTCTCTGTGTCTGTGTTTCATGAAAGAAGCAAATATAAAGGAGACAAGCAGCAAAGCAATTGCACTTTTCCCTGCGTTCTTTTTTTAAATTGAGATCACTACTTACCTCCATCACTACGAAACCCTTGGTCTCTAATCAAGTCCTACAAATAAACAGTAATGTATATTTATTCAAAGCATATGGTAAGAAAGTAATAACAACATTTTGTTTTCCACCAAGCATTAACAGAAAGGTTAACGTGAAAATAATATGTGGGCTATAAATTATATCACAAAACAAAGAATATGGAATTAGCTAGTGAACATGATAAAATAAAAAATTTAAAGCACTTGCCAACCTAATCTTAGACTGAAGGGATTATTAGTCCTGATCAAATGCTGAAAGCCATTTAAGGCCATTCAAAACCAATGGCTGCATCAGTTCTTAAAAAAAAAAAAAATTCTACTGGCACATATTAAGAGCCATAAATGTTCATACCCTTTGATCTTGTAATTCTACTTCTGGGAATTTTTCCTAAGGAAATAATTCAGAAGAAAAAACGTAATGCACAAAGACGTTTAGTGCAACACTGTCCATCATACTAAAAAATCAGTAATAATTATTTCCCTACTATAGGCATATAGACATACTGGTTAAACAAATTATGATGTATCAATTTAGTAAGTATTATGCAGCTACTATAATAATTATGAAGCTCAAATCATGAAACATGTTTACAGTATAATTTAAAATTAAATGTACACTGATACAATCATAAAAACATAGATGTGTAAGGACACACTAGAAGTGAAAAAAATAAAAATGGCTCAAATAGGGTTTTGCTAAAAATTTGTCTTTACTATTAAAATATAGCTTTTCAAAATAGACAATGTGGGGTGGGGCAGCGGAGGAGGAGTCTACTGGCAATGCAATGCAATTTGGATCCTAACAGACAGAACTTAGTTTACCCAATATAACTTAAATATGAAGGATTGAATGGCTCCAAATGTCTCAACAGGCTCAAAGGCACTTTGCAAATAGGCAGCTTTTTACTCAAACAAAGAGTAAATTCTTTACAGATGTATTTCTGTCATGTTCAATGTATGACATACAGTCTTTAACATTTTCTACAGGATAAGCAACAAATACTCTTATCTGCAAATACAGTACTAAATATTCAGGGCTGTGTGACTATCAATAAATATAATATCCTGGTGGTCTCACTAACTTTGTGTTCTTAAGAGCATATTATAAATTAACCGGAAGAAAGATACACACACATGAAAACTGACTCAAGTATGTTAATTACTCCTAAATCTGTATCTCTATTCAAGGTCCTTGTTTCAGTTGCTATTGGACTTCTAAACCAGTAAAAGTTCTCCAGACATCTTAAAGTTAGTATGTCTAAAATAAAAATTACCATTTTCATTTCTATAAACCTGTTCTTTCTCATTTGGTATTTCCTATTTTATTGAATGGAATAAATACTATCTGTTCACCTACGACAGAGAAATCTAGGCATTATCTTCTACCTCTGTTCTTTTTCCTTCTTTCCCCTACTGCTACACAGAACAGTGGTTAAGTATAAGAAAGGCAGGCCAGATTCTCCTCCATTTCAATCATTTATCAACTGTGTGATCTGGGTAAGTTTCTTAATCTCTCTAAATCTAATTTTCTTAATAAAATAAGGACAATAATAGTACTTAACTCATGAGTGTTTATGCGGACAGAATGAGAAAATTTATGTAAAGTACTTAGTATAGTACCTAGCACATAGTAAGCATTCATTAATAGTAGCCATTTTCAGTATCAATCCTAACAATTTTGCCTATCAAATCTCTAACTCAAAAGATTTTTCTAAAATACAGAGCTGATCACTTTTTCTCCCATTCAAAGTTTATTAGCTCCCCTGCTACCAACTATGATAGAGACCTCAGTGTGCACTCTCCTTACTTAGTTTCATCTTCTACCATTTCCCATCCATTTCCTGAACCCTAATCTCCTATAATATCAACTGTTAATTACATCCCACATAAAGGTACTTTCATACTTATGCACATACCATTTCCTTAACAAATGATTTTCCTTCTTAAAACTCCCACCTGGTGTACTTAATAAACACCTACTTATTCATATTCATCTTCTACACACTTTGACTTAAATGTGCCCCTTCTCTTTTAAATATTACTAGATCCAACCATTACAGTTTATCTCTCCCTTCTATAAACTATACTATATATTTTTGTATTTATTTATATGTCTGATTCATCCATTAGATTGTGACCTTCTTGAGGGCAAAGACTGTGCTAATTAATTCATCTTAATTTCCTGTTCTGACATAGTGCCTATCCGAGTAAACATTAAATCTGATTTACTGGAATAATAAATAATAATGACTAAAATTTAATGAAGTGATTGAAACCAAATGAAATGCTAAAAGGTTTGTATTTTATCTTATAATCAATGAGAAGTAAATGAAAGTTTTAGAGCAAAGGAATAGATGATGACAGAGGTGTTGTAAAAAAAATTATTCTGACAGGAGTAAGAAAGAATGAAAATGGATAGAAGAAAATCAGTGGCATGAAATCTGTTTTAGAGACCAATGTAATAAGTAGTTCAAGTGAAGAAATATGGCCAAAATGGTGGCAGTAATAACAAATTTGAGATGCATATCAAAAGGAAAGGTGATACCTTATGCCAGTTAGGTTATGGGGAGGATGAAAAAGCAAGATATAAAGATGACACTTCAAACGTTCAAGGCTAAGAGAATAGGAGAACAATAGTAACACTAAGACATAAAGAGAAAAAATCTAAAAAAATGTTAGTTTTGAAAGTAAGTATGAAAGTTACAATTTTGAAAATACTGACAATAGATCTAGCCTAGAAATAAGATTTGATTTCTTATTTCACAATCTCCTTATTCCCATATTTCCCTTTCCTACTTTTTTTTTTCTTTTGTATTCAGGTCTAGCTAGATAGAAGACCTCATTAGTTGAGAAAAACTGGTATTAGGAGGTTACTTTAAATGTAAAATAAGAGGAATAAAATAAGAGGAAAAAACTTTCATAGTAACAAGTGGAAAGAAAGTATGATTTGGGAATGTATCCTGAAAAATGAAATTAAGATTTATAAAAAGTTTATTTTCTCTTATATTCAAAAAAATTTTAAGTTATATCTTCAACAATATGATAATTCTTAAATTAACACAGAAAGAATCAAGTTTTTATTGGTTATAATACCAAACTTACAATAGCACAAACTGAAATTCTTAATTCCATAGTCAATTTTTATATCACAATCAGTCATTTTTATAAAAATTTTAAAGGACTTCATTAATTCCTTCAAAGGCTTCCATCAATCCTTTAATATTTAAATCATTTTCATTTGAAGAGCCTAATATATTGTCATCTTTATAGGTTTTCTTTTACTGTTAGCTGAACTAATTTAATTCTGCCGTATCCTTATTTCTCAATGGCTTTATAAGATTTGAGTAGTTCTCCAAAGTCACTATTCATTGTCTTCCTAAAATCCTTAAAATCTTTTTTTTAAAATCAGTCTGGCAATCAGTGTTTTCATTGAAATCTTGGGTACTGATGGAAAGGGGCTGGAATGTAAGCTGTTATTAAATTGGGAAGGATGTTAGAGTAGGGACTAATATTAAAGTAGTCTGTTAATTAGTGAGTATTTTCCTGTTAGGACAATTTTTGCCTCTTTACTCAACCTTATGAGGAGGACTCACATAAGGAATGCCTGTAAAATGAGAACAACCTTAGTCCTCTAAGAGACAAGTGACCACTTCAGTAACTTCTGTATCTTATTTACAGGGGTAAACAGTTTCAAATTCCTTTTTAAATGTAATTACTTTCCAAGGCAAACAAACCGGATGGATTTTCTGTTTTGCTACTTATTACAGACAGAGATAAAAGATAACTCACACTTTTTTATTCTGAAGTACAAACTCTGGGAAAAGTGACACCTAAGTCCAAGATCAAGATCCCACCTCATCACAGCTCAGATAGCAAAGGCTCTTTATCGTCTTCAGTAACTCAGTTACCAGGATGATGCAGCTAAATGAACCAGTCCTTTGGGATTGATCCTGTGTATTTCATCTTTCTTCGCATCTCCTTCTTCTCTTTTGTCTATATCAGGGACTGTCAAAATACAGTGGGCTGGCCACCTGTTTTACTAAAGTTTTACTGAAATAAAGCCACACCTATTTAATTAAAATGTATTATTTATGACTTTTCACATTACAGCAGAGTTAAACAGTTGTCATTAGAGATCATAAGACCCACAAGCCTAGAAAACTTACTATGCGGTGTGGCCCTTTAAGAAAGAGTCTGTTGACCCTTGGTCTATATTATGGGAAATTTCCTCTGCTTTATCTTCTAACCCTTTCACTGATACAAATATTTTTCAGTGACCTATTATGTTAGGTGCTAACTAGCACCTAACATAATTCCTATGTTAGGGAACTATATTAGGGATGGTTTCTGCTGTCTAGAAGTTAATATCTAATTGCAGAAGTGACACTAATATACGTAAGTCAACTTACAGTGTGTAAGATAAACTGGGAAAGTAAAAAAATTCAAGAGTGACCAGCCAGAAGGAGGCTAAAATAACTGAAGTGAGATTACAATATATAATAATGACCAGAGAAGATGCATTTAAAAAAATGATTAAAACTCAGTGATAAACTTTACATAAAAGAATATACCAAAATTCAAGATGTGTACAGAAATGGAATATAACAATATACTCAAGAAAGTAAAGAAGGTTAAAGGTAGATTTGCATGTTAAGTATATAAAGTAATGATTAGTCATTAAGGGTTATTCAAAGTTGATCTTTTAAAATTTAGGTAAAGATTTCAAATTGATCTAAATAGGAAACTTGCAAGTGTATTCTTTAACATAAAATGGTCAAGTGGATTACCTGTTAAATAAATGAAGTTATTAAGACTTTTACAGAGATGGTGTCATAGAAAAAAAAATGAGAATAACTCAGTGATTTGGAACCAGTTGAGTATTTAATGCCATTAGCGAAGATGACAAGGCTTTTCTAATCTGTATTTCATTAAAAGTCTATCACTCATAATAACTGTGGTAAATCAAAGATGATACATTTCTGATCTATATTATAAGTGTAGCAGAAAAATTAAAAAATACACTTGAATTTTTTTAGTTCAACAATGCTGGATACTTACATCAATATTGACGGGTTCTATTGTGTTTATATGCACATTTGGAGCAGACGAGGACCGGTCTCGTTGCCCAAACTGATTTCGATGATCTTCATCTGCTGGTCGGAAAGGCTGTGGAATTGGAATGGATTTTGAAGGAGACGGACTGGTGAGAATTGGGGGCCTGGAAAAATTAAGTGATTGAAACATAAGATTCAGAGCAACTTTACAGAGATAACAGCACGGAAAATTGGATGATACAAAGATTTTCCTGCTTTCATATTCTCAAAAAAAACTTTAAAATAAAGCATTAAAAATCTAGCAGTAATGGCTTTTAAAATTACTACTTTAAATAACTATTCTAGGCTTGTACCTAATACTGACAAAGCTGCTTTGCTCAAGCAGACCCTCCAGGGAGTATCAATGATAAGAACACTGATTTTTATCCAGAAAACTCCAGAGAAATCCACAAATGGCTAGAAATTACCTGTGGTTAATCAGCGGAAGGAACTCTTGTCCTTTAAGGTTATATAAAAATGTTCTAGGTAGGGACTGACTGAATAATGTCTGCCATTTTTTTCCTACCCTTGTCATTTCTTGATAGTTGAAGTTACTAAAATGAAATTTTTATGCAAAGTATTAGGAAATTATAAATATTTAAAAAATAATACATGCATATTTAAGGACCTGAAAGTTGTGCTTTACACAAAAGTTGAATTAAAATCCTGAACAATAATGGCAAAAGATCATTTCCAAATAGATGATCCTGACAGTGTCTCTCTCATTTTGAAATTTTTACCATGCCCAATAACTGATACAAGAGACACAGGGGAATAATACATTAACCATTAAAGGACGTATCTGTAAAAACAGCTTTTGATGAAACTATCAAAACAGGGGACAGAGCGACCTATTCTGGTACTGTAGATAAATAACAAAGTCTATGATCTCTCACTGTCCCCAGAATGAATGTGGCACTCATGGAGTACATTATAAAGTTTTGAGACCTAGACTGTAAACATCTGTGAGGAGTCTCTGCCCCTCAGAAGGAATATCCAAGAGAGATGAAAAGTGAGTATCACTTGATAGATGAGGTTTGACTGTCCCAGTGAGCTCCATTAGGACCAATGAATGACTCAGTGCTAACAGCCTCTCTTCAGAGACTGGCTATCATTCCACTCCACCATATGCAAATTCTGTAACTAATCAGTATTATTTAATGGTTAAAAAGACAGCCAGAAGGACAATGTAGAGGGGATAAAAAGACATTTTTATGAGGGGAGAGGGTTTAGAGAGGAATGGGAAGAAAATATAGCAGAAGAGGACTAAAGGTTGAAGAAGCCAAAGAAGCCAAAAAGTGACAAAAAGCTTTGCAATAAAATATGTTAACAGAATCTGAACCATACCAGCTAATAAATTTTACTTCTTTGCAACACACTATTAAGTGTAGGGAAAACAAATCTGACTTTATCTGTTCATATTAACTAAATGAATCTACTAAGAATTGAAATAAAAATAATAAAATATTATGTACTTTAAAAAATTGGTATCAGCCCAAAGAGAATTACAGGTAAGACTGATGGAACTAACCTTTAGGAAAATTAGCATGCCCCACTGGTCTTTTTATTCTGATTATTAAGAAACCTTGAGTTTGTGACAGAGCTGTCTTTATTTTTGCTTTAGACAATCACCATACACCTTTTGCTAAGGGGTTTTGGGAGCAGGTAAAAGAATGTAAAAATGACAATATTAACATTAGCTTTTTAAATAGTTTTGAAAAGTGCACTTTTAAAAACTACTTAGAGGCTGATTTAAAGTTTCAATGCAACAACATACTACTACTTTAAGTTAGGACTTAAAAGTAGGAAAAGCCTAAATTAACTACAACTGTATAGGGTAGTCTAATTAATATAAATGATCTGGTATAGGGAGAGCAAGCCATTCTTGAAACTTACTGAATTAAGATTATGAAGGCAACATGTAATACATAACAAATCAGAAATAAGTATGTGAAGTCTTTAACTAGGAAAACACAAAAACCTGGATTTAATCTAATAAATTTTATTATCAAATCTAAAGGAAATGGATATATTAGAAAGTGAGGAAATCTGCCTATTACATAAAAATCAGAAAGGATATATTTGGCAGTTGGCATTGGTCCACAAAGTCAATTTATCTAACCGTGAGGGCAAATATAGTACCATTTTGGAAAACACTTCAAGTTATTATAGCCTAATGTCATTAAACATCTGAATTATGTAATTCAAAAACAATCTTTGGATTATAATTTGGTTTCTCATAAATATCTTCCAAAGCAGAGGAAGTACTGATCCATCCAACACAAGAAGTCTGATCTATACAGGCAGGTACTTCTCACTGACATGAAGTACCTGGCATTCTGATTTAGTCTTTTCTGATTTTGATTACTGTAAACAAGTGTATTTCTAACTCTCATCATTTCTAGGAATTGGTCAAAATTGAGTTTCCATAGTGGGACATCTTAACTTGGACCTAGGCAAGTTATACCTTGTGAAGTATGTTGGCAGTCAGCAAACTGGCTCTCTACCTACCTTGTTGCAAACCTCCTTAAAGCAGTAGTAAATTAGAAATAGAAAGAATTTCACCTCTAACACCCTTCAGCAAATTACCAGTTAGTTTAGATTTCATTTTTAATCTAGAATATTAAAAGTTTTGAAGCAGTGTGACTACCTCTGTTTCAGCGATACACACATTTTAAAACACTGACTTTTCATAAATTTATATATTCCATAGCATTTGTAAAAAGTAGAAAAGGTGGTATCTTTAACTCTTTATTCAAAACTGGGCAACGTATCATTCTCCACATCATTACTATATGTGATATGTCTTGGTTACATCCATTATTATATGTGACATGTCATATATGTGTACATATATATCATGAAACAATGATAATAATTAATAGTCCTGGTATCAGTTATAATTGTTATCAGAACTATTAATAAAATGCAAAGGAGTATCAATAAAGAACAGGACTGGCTTCTACCTTTTCACAGACATGCATAGATACTTGTGATACAAAAGCATCCAGAAAACAAAAGTTTGAACATCCTTCTTATCATTTACTCAAGACCAGAATGTACTTCAGTTCAGTTATGAATAAAATACTCATGGCATAGGCAAATAGTTTCTTAATTTTAAGACAGCATTCCTTCACTGGAAGGCAAATGTCCTAAATCATTACCATTATGAACCTTCAGAGAGGCCAAACTGATTTCATTATGGTGATCTGTAACTGCTCACAGAACTAGGACCTGCCATTAGAGAGGCCTCGTGGTCTATTAGAACCTGTCAGAGGTAAATGTGATAGCCAAAAGATTAATGAAAAATCAAAATGAACAATGACAACACTTTGATTTGATCTTCTAGGAAATATACAGATGCATATAACTAATGACAAGAGACAGCAGGAATGGAATGACTCCACCAGAGTGAACAATTCTCACAGCCTGATGAAAGAACACAGTGGTAGCATTTTGAGTGTTCCAAAATAGATAAATCTACTCCTTAATGCAAAAGTCTTTTGCTAAATTTTCTAGCCTTTGAGACCTTTAGAAAGGTTGACGTGGTAAAAATTACAGATCTATTGGGAGGTTCAACTTATTGTTTTATCTAGAAGAAACAGCATTATCTTGTGAATAGTGGAAAGAAGTAGGGTTGAAATTGACAATAAATATTCCTGGTTTTAACTAATTATCTCTGGGATATTCTAGAACAGAATGCCATGTGGGGGCTTTTTTTTTTTTAACCAGTTACAGAGATAGCATAATTTAAGGGGCCTCAAATCTAACAGGGAAACAGTTAAGCAGATCTGTGTAAGAAATGCTCCAAAACAAACTAGTATCTACTAAATTCACCATCTTTCCTACTCCACTATGAAGCCTGAATATATGATGCCTTTGCATCACCTTTAAAGTCAACTCTCTCTTTATCCTCCAAAACTGATTAATAATACTAGTTTTTTCCTTTTACACTTATGAACATCCATCCCTTCTCCATGTTGCTACCACTTCAGTTCAAGTCTTCACACTGCCTCTCACTGTCTTCACTATCAACAGCACTCTAGATATCTCTCAATCTATCTGAATATCACTACTAGGGAGTCTTTCTTTAAAACCATTTTCACCAGGTTAGTCCCATGCTCAAAAACCCATAATTCTTTTTTCCCCTTTTATGCAAAATTTAAATTTCAGCGTGAATCCAAGACTCTCGATAATGTGATATTTCTAGACTTAGATTACTGTTTCTTCACTGTCTCCCAAACCTACCATCCCCATTTCCCTTACTTATGCTGTCTTTATCCTTCCCTTTCTCCTTTCCATCTCCAATCACTGTGCTTTTATTCTCTGGGTTTATTCAGATGCTTGAATTCTTAAAGGTCCAGTTTAAATCCCACTTTCTTGATTACATATTGACTACTCTCACTATTCTCTTCTTCTCCTGTAAACACGGTAATACTTATGCCCTTATCACACAGTTTAAAGTAATTTGTGATAAACTGTAGATTATAATTATATACTATTTTAAAATTATCTTGTATGTTAATGCTACTTTTGTAAATAGAAATCATATGCTTCTATATCTGATATTACCTAATAAAGTGATGAGCAGAAGGCAGGAACTCTAAAAAAGTAAGTTACCTGAAAAGAGTTCTTAATGTAACAATATAAATGTTGGAAAGATTTATAATTAAATAAAAGTTCCAAAAGAAATCAGCTCAAATAGCATGTCACTGAACAGCAGGAGTCAAATCATACCCAATAGAATCGGAGGTGGGTGCAGACGAGGATGACCCAGACGTAAGAGCAGTCTCTGCTAAGGAGGCCTCCTCCTGTGGTATTGGGTGGTGTTCAAAGAACTTGGAGACAAACAGCAAACTGTGAGGCAAAAACAAAAACAAAACAAAACAAACCTAACTTGTGCAAAACCCAGAAGCTTCATACACCAGAATACATTACAGAATTAACAAAAATATCTGAGATCAAATTTCATTTTCAGAAAGGATTCTAAAATTTAGTTTTTTTCTTTCCTTCTTTTAAAATTAGTTTTATTTTTGCCTAAAGGCTTATTTAAAAAATTATACTGTACTTTCAAAGGCAAGATTAGAATCTAAAACTAATTGTTCTAACACAGCAAATTTTTACGTGGTAGAAGGTAAAAATCATGCTTTATGGTTAAGGAATTAGAAGAAAATAAATATTGCTAAAAGTTAGATTACATATTTATGATATACTTTAAAGTACAGAGCTGAATTCCCTTTGTGCAAGTGATCAAAAAAAAGTAGTAAGACTTTAACAGAAGTAGCAACAACACAAAAAAAGATTAAAAGAGATTCAGTCTAATCAATTAGAGAAACTCTGGCATAAAGCAAATAGAAATTTTAGAAAAAGATACACTGGGTTCAAAGAGTTTATATGTTGTTTTTAAATAAACTGAGGTAAGTGGATAAAGGGGGGAGATGAATGGGGGAAGAGAGGAAGGGAGAAGAAGGGAAGGAAGGGAGGAAAGAGAGAGGGAGAAGACAGACAGACAGACATTAACTTGGAGAAGAGAGAAAACATAATTTACAAAATAGCTAACAGAATCTGACTCCCTGATCTGTGGTCCAAAAATGTAATGGCTAACTTAACTGAAACACCTGCTCTCCTCCCAAAATCTATCTAAAACTGATTTCTATGGGCAAGGGATCTTTATTACTTAAAAGAGAATATAAAACATGAATGAAATGTACAGTCCAAATTAGAGTCTGAGAGAAGTACTGGCTATACCAAATATTACTCTCTAGCAACATTTTTAAAAATTCCTGGTAACAACCCTACTGAACAGAAAACTCCCACAGACTCTAAGATATACCAGTTTCATATTAAGAAAAGTTAAATGTAAAATAGTAGATAGAAATTTTTTTGGATTACTTACTCAAGTTGGTCATAATTAACACACATCAGTGGAACCTCTGTACTACAACGCTGGTGAAATTTATAACCACATGTTTGACAGCGGAACCCCTGGAAAAGCAGCTTTCGACAGAAGTCACAAAATGCTAAGGTGAAAAAAGTTTTCCGTACCTGCAAAGTAAAATACCATAGATGATTTCAAAAACTTGCAAGAATCTTTTTAGAAATCAACTTATTTACTTTCTTATTTAAAATAACAAATCTTTAATATGCTTACATCATAAGAACTGCCTTACACACTAAGATACTAAAATGAAAGGCAGTGGGCTCAAGATAACAGATGGCCTATATGTATTTACCTCCCACCAATTACCCAATTTAAAAACTCAGAAGTCAGTAAGATGGGAAATGAACTTAAGACTGGAAACTAGTTTCAAGCTGTACTACATAAAAGTAAAAGCAGAGATGATAGTAGAAGGAAGAATTAGAAGAAAAAGGAAGAATAAAGGTTCACTTTAATAATTGTAAAAAGAAAGCAGTTAAGAGATGCTTATTGGTGTCAACAGAACATCAGTATACATATATTATTTAAAGTTACAAAGATATGCAACAGAGGAATCAAAAAACACAAAAAAGCAGAAACATGCGTTGGAGGAGAGGAAGCAGGGGGAAAAGTTGCAATATTACAAATAATCTAACTCTCTATGGAACTGGCAATCAGTAAACGATGTCTAAAATTGATAAAGCAAGAAACTGGCTTACAGTTATTATTCAGTAATATGAAAACAGCACCAAAAGAGTTTAAAACAGAAACCGTTAAAAGTTGAGTGATTTCCTATGGACAGTAGCATTAGAGGCTAGCAAGGGATGGGACAATAGATTATTTTTTTATTGTAAAACCTTCTGCACTATTTAAAAAATACATACATTTGAGTCAAATGTAAAAAAAATTACTTATAAAAGAAAAAAACTAGTTTGTAATTATACGAAATCAGAACCTACCTAAACTTGCTAACTTAGGATAAGGGACAGGAAAATCACTAAGAAGATGTTAAGAACTACTTCTAACAAGTTATCAGTTTGTCAGAGGATTACAACACCTAAATGTATTTGTGAACATTCTTCTTTGTGAAACTTAAAAAGGCAACATGTAAGAACTCCATGTCCAAAGGCAAATGACCCACAACGTGGGTCACATAAACAGAACTGTGCTAGGGAGACTCTATCTTGGTAACTACCAAAGTCAGAAATTGTTTTAACACTGTGTAGATAAAAAGCAGAAGACATAAGAAGGATAAACAAATACCAAAATGCTAACAATGGCTATTTAAGAGCGGTGAGAGCAGGGGTGACTCTATTTTGGCCTTTTTCTTTGCCATATATTCTTAATTCATTTCAGACAGCATTAACCACAAACGAAAGTAAGAAAAATACACCAGAACGTATAATGTACATCAGAATTTTCTAATCCATTCTACTGCATGTAAATGCTTTTCATGACCATTAAATTGATGTCAATATCCACAGTTTACCAAACTCTTTTCAATAAACGTATTTACCAGGATAAAACATTATTTTAAAAATGTTTCATCAAGAAAATGATATCTTGGCACATCATCCGTTCTGGCTTTTTTAGAACATTTAGGTAGTTTAGTTACCTAAATTAGCTACTCTTAGTAAAAGTTAGCTACTCTTAGTAGCTCTTATTTTCCTCACTTTTTTTTTTGAGGGTGGAATTAAATATGGTTTAATTAATTTATATTGCAAATTAAAGCACGCCACAGTCACACATGCCTCCAAAATAGACTACGTACTAGCAGTTAGATGAAGTAAGGCTTTCACTTCGATGTCATTATACTTGGGCAGGGGCCACCCATCATCTCCCTGGCTGTCCTTTATCATTGGGATAGCCCTGCCATTTCGGGGGGGGGGGGGGACTTGCCAAGCTTAGAAGCCAGAATTCAAGGTCACTCAGGTGGCTTTGCTGCTGATTCCTCACCTTTCTATGTATCACTTTCTAGGGGATATAAAAAGACAACTGACTGTTTTTAGTTTTGTTCCTTTTCCATTATTTGTCTTTAGCTACACAAAAAATTGGAAATTTTTCTTTAATATTTATGTGGCTACTATTTACCAAAGCAAGCATCTTTTCAGATTGCTAGCAGAATCTCTGGAAATTAGAGCACAGAAAAATACAAAATGTGTTTACAGGAATCAGCACTTTATAGTCATCTGATCCTTTTTCTTTAATCTACTCAACTGCAGTATTTCTTTCTGTCACTGACTTACACTTGAAAACTATGTGCAAACGGTTGTTTCTGTATGTAAAGGAAGAGAAAACAAAAAGAGAGAGAGAGACATGGGAGGAGAGGAGGCAGACAGGAGAGGAAAACACCTGAGTAGGAGAGAACGTGGTTATGCATCTGAGTATAAATTGAGTAAGTGACCATATACCTGTGAGTATACCTTTGTCAATAAAGGTGGGCACAGGAAGGTATATCTTTTCTTTTGTGCCACAATTTATGCTTATTTTGGAATTCAAGCACATCTAAACATGGAAGATAAACTAGTCGGAGGCACAGACCAGGCAATCTGCACGTATTAATTTGTAAGATATGGGGCTGCCTGAGGAAGACATTAACCCTGGTGCCTATGGAGAATGGCAAGGGCTAGACACAGCGCAACTGTTTCTATTCTTGCTTCTCTACCTTCCCTGCCCCTCTGCCCTGCCAGTTTCCAAGGACTCCTGGGAGGTAGGCAAATACTGAAGCGACAGCTTTTATAAGACTCCATGAAACTAGGAGGGATAAGCAGCATTCCTTGAGGAGTCAGCAAAACCCAGCTCAGAGGAGCAAAGAGAGGAAATCTTCCCTTTCTAAGCAGTACACAGGCTTACTCTTGCCTCTATATGACACTCAGAGCAATTGTTCTAAAACACAAAATGCATCACACATCTCTCCTTCTTATATTAAATTTCCAATTATCTTAGAGAAAAGTCCAAACCTTCGACATGGCTTACAAGGACTTATGAGCTGGGCTCTGCTTACTCTACCTATATTATATACTTGCTACCTCTCCAACTCTGTACCATCCATGCTGAATTTCTTTCAAAACTAAAAAGGTAACGTACTTTCTTACTGCTCCCTGTGTCTCAAGCACTCTTCCTTTGACTGTTCATCTGCTATTCCCTCATCCATCAGGCCTTAGCTTAGATATTTCTTCCTTTGGAAAACCTTCCTGACCCCTCAAAGGCCATGTTAGGAGTCTCTACTCTGTGCATCCAAAGGATATTAAACATACACAGCAATTGGAGGAGTATTCATGAAATTTTCTTATTAAGTCATCTGTCTCTCTACTCTAAGGCAGGGATACTGTTTACTTTTTCATTGTTATATCCTCAGATCAGACAAAGTGTTGGCAAATGCAAAGTTCTCAATAAATATTTACTGGCAGCTCTCCAACTGTGCTGTGAGGATTTCCATACTCTGCAACTAACCTGCAGTTTGCTTTCATTATCCTCTTGTGGCAAGGACCTTCCTTAGGCACTATTTTAATATTATCTTATGGTTAGCAACTTCAGTCTTCTTTTACCTCCTCATACCTAATTTCTAGCTAAGAAAAATAACTAAGAAAAGCAGTAATGATCACAGTGAAATATAAGTTCAACTTTTTTTTTGATTCCGAAAAACTTATATAAAAAATCTTAAAATCTGTCCTCTCAAAATTCTACAAGTTAAAAAAAACAATAGTAGTGAACTCCTTATCTCATCATTATAAAACTATCTGCTACACAGTAAATCTGACTCTCATGAGATATATCTTACACTCATCCAAAAGATGCCTTATTTACTGAAGCACAAACCTGACTTCACTATTCACTCCAATGGACCCTCCAAAACACCAACCCCCAAGGAAATCAAAAGATCCCAGTTGTACTAATCACCAAGACACATGGAAAAACACTTGATGCCAAAAGGGTAGCAATAACTAACCACTTAGAAAAATAAACTATCGTCAAAATTCCATATAGAGAAAAGTAGTAAATGCTTATCTGCCTTATAGATCACTCTAATCTTGGATTCTGCCTACACTTTTAGAGGATAGGTTCTCAAGCTCTGGGACCTGTATTCTTAACTCTGAGGTAGAGAGGTCCCCATGTTCCAGGTCTCCTGGCTGTTGACACTTCACTAGGCTAGGTTCCGGCAAATGCAAAAACCAGACAAAAGGAGAAGTGCTCAAGGAGAACTTTAACAATGTTCTTAAGTCCTCAAGGACAGCTAGTCCACCTCCATTAACGTATCCTTCAGAAACACTTACACAAAGGTGTCAAGATGTATGCAGAAAGATTCTGTTTACCATGTATGTAATAGATTTTTAAAAAAAAACTTAAATGTCTATTAATAGAGGGATAGTTAGTATACAGAACTTATGTTCTTAGGGACTATTCTGCAATCACTGCAAGCTAGGTGTGCTGACATGGAAAGATGTCCATGATATACTGTTTAATTTTTTTAAAAAGGTGAATAACACCACACAAAACACGACTCCATTTCAAAAAAAAGGGAAAGAAATGGAAAATAATGAAGGAAAGAGAAGGGAGAAAAATAGGAGAAAACTTTGTGCTCAGAAGTACAAGGACATGTTTGTACATACACAAAGAGTTTGGAAGACTACACAATAAACTATTAACAACTGGCCCACTTACCTCTGGTAGGGCACTTTCACGTTTTTAACTTGATATACTTTCATACCACTCAAATTCTTAAGAATTTTCTTTTAATAATAAATATTTTTTACTTTTTAAAGTCAAAAATTAAGTATAATGATTGAAATAAAACTCTTTAGCTCAAATATGCATTTTTTTTAAAGAACAACTGATTTTCAACTTAGGTAAAATATCAATTCCAAAATTATTCACCCATACTTCATATTCCCTAAATAAAAATTCATTCACAAGAACCTGAACATTTCTGACATTTCAAAAAAATATCAAGATACATACAAAGTTGTGTGTTGTAAGTGGAACATTCTCCAACACTTCTACATGCAATTCCTCTCCGGTAAGCCAGGAAATATCAGTATCCCAGCCAATTGGTTTCTTCTCTCTGAAAGGTGCAGACACAGCCTTTCTTGGTTATCATACCTAAAGACTTTCAACTACCTCATGCTGAAGATATGAAAATTGGTTATTGAGGGGCTAGTAATGGTGAGGGAGTTTTGACTCCCTGGTCTTCCATCGTTAGAAATTTAAATGGCAATAAATTAATTTTTAAGTTTACCCCAAATAAATGTATCACTCTTGGACAAACAGCAGGGTAAAGAGAGGTACTCTTTTCTTCAAGTCAGCTCCAGAAAAGACCTACAAACAGCAGAAAATGGATTGTTTCTGGGGTCCCCCCCAACAAAAATCATAGGTACAGATTTATCTGTCCAGTCAAAGAAAGAGTACTCAAGGGACAACATGCCCCAAAAAGGTGATTTTTTTTAAAAGGTATTTAAAATTGAGGGGGTCTTGGCACAATTTTAGATGCTTTCTGAAAGAAAAATTACTCAATATGAAATGTTAATTTTGATAAGCCTTTTGTGAAACTATGAGTTTGTATTAAAAACAGAGAAGTGGGGAAGAGCCTATTATTCAAATAAGTCACATTCTAAATGATTCAAAAATTTTAAGAATCTCAAACTCCAAATAAAGTCATTTCATAAGAGTAACAAACACTGTTGTCATACAAAGTTATCTAATGTTAACTCCTCAAAGGACCTATAAGATTCTTTAGGCTAACTAACTTAGTGTTAATATTTTTTTTCTAAAGTTGATTTTCAATACCCTAGGTTTGGGTAAAGATCTTATAGAAAACCCCAAAATTTAATGTCTGAGGTTTTATCCCTTTTTAAAACAAAGTTTCACATCACATACAAACCATACCCATCCTGAATTCTGTAAACAGCACAGCACTCTGGGATTAGACCTCTCATCATCAGTGCTTTCTTTAGACTGTCCCGAACTGTAACTCCACACCTTGCAGGTACCTATGGTGTCATAAATATATGATATGAGGTAAAGGGAATAAGTTACATATTTTTCACATCATTGAAAAAAATTACCTTCATAATACCTTTAAAATGTCATATGGATTACTATGTCAGAAACAAAATTATTTCTAGAGCTAAGTTAATATTAAAGAGAAATTATGACTCAATTATCTATTCACACTCACCAACTTAAATCAAAGCAAAATTAATTTCTAATTTTTTATTAAAGTAATGAAATATCTTAAACACATAAAAGGACAGAAAATACAACAGGTTCCTATGTGTGCACCACTGAGAAGTAATAGATGTCAACATTTAAAGCAAAATCAATTTTGATTCAATACTGTTTAAAGCTGAAAACTATAATCCTTCAATCATACTGATGGTCCTTAAGAGATGTCTTACTGATCCTAACCACAGCAGAAGAAAATACTTGTCTTAATGTGTCTGATATTTGTTATTTAGTTGCCTAGCACTTCTATTTTCTCTGAGAACCTACCCTTCCCTAAAATCCACGTGGTACTGGAGAGACTATCAATCAAGGGTCACTACTTTTCTGGCTACACATGACATAAGCTGGCTAGTCAGCTTCCCATACCCCTGATCTAGGGCTAGATATACAATCCCAGCTGCACCAGAGTTCTACCTTTAACTGACAGACACTGGCTGAGAGACATTTCTGTGTCTACTACGGTTAACGCATTCCATGAGGACAGAAATTTGGAGCCCCTAATGGCCATCTTCTTGGTACACTGAGAAAATCTGGCTATAGAATGAAGCTAATCTAAGGAATAGAGATGACATTAGGAATGGGGATGAAATGGGGCACTGAAAATAGAGATTAAAAGAATCTCCCTGTATATCTGAAGTTATCACTATCCTAGGCTTTCTGCATGAGACTCATCTCTCCAGTTATTAATTTGAATAATTTAAAACTGAAAAAGAACTGACGAACATAGTGTAGACTACAGTGAAGCAGTGGGAGTTCAGGTTGGCCGGTTTTTATGTGGGGAAAGGAGTGGAGATAGAGAACATGTGTTAATAAAATTAAAGGTTTCTTTCTTTTAAATCTCTACTTAGCAAAGCAAAAGTTTACAAATGGGGAATCTTTGTGCTAGAGGGGAAAAATGGAGTAAAAGTGAATAGAAGACAGCTGAATTTAAATAGTATATTGAAGGGGAACAATTCAGAAAGCCAAATTAGGACCTAAGATTAGAAAACACAGGAGGCAGATTTTTGCTTAATATAACTATTAAAACTACCATCCAGCAAGGGTGAAGTTTATAAGGAGAGAGTATGCTCATCATTGGAAGTATTTAAGAGACTGGACAGGTACAGCTGATCCTCTTTATCTGTGGACTATATATGCAAATTTGTCTATTTTCTAAAATGTATTTGTAACCAAATCAATACTTGTAGCACTTCTGCAGACATGCACATAGCCCTGAAAAATTTGGGTTGCTCCATGTGTACCTTCCCAGCTGAGGCTGAATAAGGTGACAATGCCTTCTTTTTCTAGCTCTCATACTGTATAACAAGTGCCCTATGCCAAGAAGCTTTTAAGCTAATGGACCCCAGCTAGCTAGAAAAAACAAACAACCTAGGGGCCAATATCCAGAGGCCATTTTTGGCTCATTAGTGTAATAGTAATTCAGTATTTCTCCTAGGAGCAATGGTTCAGTATTCACTAAACTAATTCAGTGTTTGCAGTGACTTTGTAGAATAATAACTACTGCGAGGAGTGAGAGTTGTGCCCTTCAGAAATAAGGAACAGAAGGGAAAGCTCATTTTTTTCCCTCTGCCATTCATATTCTGCCTACTCTAATACAGAAATTTCTTGATTGGCAACCCTATCTTTAGTTTTAAACACCATTCAATCTATCCTATCCCATGTTACTAAAGAAGGTGTGTGTCAAAGACTTCCGAGAATCCGATGAAAGCCTTAGATACTCTCTGAAATGTAAAAGTTCAGAGAATTCAGAGAACCTGAAGCCCATACCTGCATGCCGAGGAGCCCACTGAACTCAAACTTAGAATCCCATTCTGAAATATAATCTTACATTTTATTAGATAGTTTAAAATTTTCCAGTTATTTAGAGGGCAAAATTCAAATTCCTCTCTGTGGCATGTAAGGCCATCAATGAACTACCAAAGAACCCCTCAGTTCCTTTGGTAATTTCCCTCAAGCACTCCTGGTAACGCCATCTTGTAATACAGCTATACTCCCTTCTGATTGTCTGAACAGGCTGATTCCAAGGTGTATATATGTTTCATTAGCAGGCAAAAATTTGGTTTCCAATCTTGGCACCAAGGGAAAGTCATCAATTAGTCCTCATTCATCCACTTCTGTAGGCTGATTTTTATTTGCTCCTTCACAATTGTGCCTGTTCTAAAGACTGACAGACCAATGGAACAAAACAGAAAGATCAAAACAGACTCCAACACAAAAAGAAAATTAGAATTAAAAAAGGGGCAGCATCTGAAATACGGTAAAGATAAACTTTTAAATAACTAATGTTGGGACAACTGGAACCAATCTAGGAAAAAAAGGCCCACCCATACCTTCATACCATATACTAGGGTAAACTCCAAATGAATCAAAAATTCAAATGTTGAAAGAAGGAGGGGTCAAACCATAAAAGAACTGGAAGAAACATAGCAAACTCCTTTATAACCTCAAGTGAAAAAGGCCTATAAAACTATGATGCAAAATCTGGAAGCCATAAAGAAAAAATATTAAATTCAACTACATAAAACTAAGGAACTTTTTAAGATGGCAAAACAAACACACACACTATAGTTAGCCCTCCATATCTGTGGGTGCTGCATCTGTGGATTCAACCAAAAGGGGATCAAAAATATTAGGAAAGAAATTCCAGAAAGTTCCAAAAAAGCAAAAATTGAATTTGCCTATTATAAGTAATCTATAGATGACTTAAAGTATACAGGAGGATGTGCATAGGTTATATGCAAATACTATATCATTTTATATAACAGACTTGAACATCCAAGGATTTTGATATCCTCATGGGATCCTGGAACCAATCCCCTGTGGATACTAAGGGACAACTATATAAGCAAAGTCAAAGGACAGATGCAAACTGGGAAGAAATATTTGTAACTTATGTAACAGGCACATAAACTTCCTGGTATATAAGAATTCCAGAAAAACTGAGATCAAAATCAACAACCTGGGGGTGGGGGGTGGGAAGGGACAGACTGGGATTTCAAAATTAGAATAGACAGACAAGCTTATACTGTGTAGCACAGGGAAATATATATTAGATCTTGTGGTAGCTCACAGAGAAAAATAAGTGTGACAATGAATACAGATGTATGTTCATGTATAACTGAAAAACTGTGCTCTATACTGGAATTTGACACGTTGTAAAATGACTATAATTCAATTAAAAAATATTTTTAAAAAAATCAACAACCTAATAGAAAATGGGCAAAGAACATAAAAGACACCTCATACAAACAAAAGTATAAATGGCCTTCAAGGATACGAAAAGGTGTTCAATCTTAGAGAAAAGCAAACTCAAACTTGACAAAACATTTTTCATTTATCAGATTGGCAGAAATCCAAACGTTTGACAACACAGTAGTTGATGAGGCTATGGTAAACAGGCATCTCATACACTGCTGATAGCAGTGCAAAATTAAGCAAGACTTACAAGGCAAAATTTGAAAGTATCTTATCAAAACCACAAATATAAATTTCTCTTTCCAAGGAAGCCTATTTTTGGTACACTGTAACTGGTAAACTACAGTACATCTATATAATGGAATCTATAGCAATAAAAAGGAGTATTTAAGCATACTATGCACGGAAATGGAAAATTTCCACAAAGGTCTACCTAAACATTAAACACAAAATACAGAATGATATATACAGTATGTGTATGAAGAGGACTGAGGAAATAAGAATATATCTTTGTATTTGCTTTAATTACATAAAGAAATACAGAAAAAGCACACAAATAAAAGGTTACCTAAAAGGTATACCAGAAATTGGATATATATGGGTAGGGTGGAAACCAGATTTTTTGATGCAAATACTGAGTGAAAGAATTACCTATTCAAAAAGGAAAAGTTATAGAGGAGGGCTGTCTCAAATTTTAGGGCTAAAAAGACTAAAATGATATTTTCAAAAGAACCAGGTGCCTCTTCTTCAAATTCCAAAATTAAATGTCCTGATTAGGCTGTCAAAGCAGCGACAATTCTTCTCTAAAGAAATATAAAAACAAGTATCCTACCTTAAGAAAGACTTATAGTCAATGTAGTCATCTGAATATTGCCAAAAGAAAATTTACACCAAAATGTATCAGTCTAAATTTTAACAAATCAGTTTTCAAACTGAATATAAATCATCTTTTATCAATGCATTCATGATGGTTAACCACACTACTCTACTTTTGTGTATGTTTAAAATTTTCCATAAAAAAAGGTTTTCTTAAAACTTTAAGTACTCCTTAAATAAGTGGCCATGAAAACTCAGGCAGCCGTCAAAATTATTACATGTGTATTTGAGCTAGTAGATTAATCTGGTAGTTTAAATTCTTTGTAATGCAGAAACTAAAACCTTCATACAGTACTAATGAGAAAGTAAAATGATGCAGCCATTTTCAAAAACATTCTGCTGGTTCCTCAAAACATTATTGGAGGCATATACTCAAGAAAAATGAAGACATATGTTTATATAAAAACCTGTCCATGAATGTTCATGGCAGCATTATTCATAATAGCCAAAAAGTGGAAACAACACTGATAATGGATACGTAAAATGTGGTATGATATACAAAATACGATTTTATTCAACCGTAAAAAGGCATGAAGGACTTGTACATGCTATAATGCAGATGAACCATAAAAACATGCTAAGAAGCCAGTCACAGAAGACCACATATTGTATGATTCCATTTATATAGAATGGAATGTCCAGAATAAGCAAATATATAGAGACAGTAAGAAGGTAAGTGGTTGGCTAGGGCTGG